AAAAAAAAAAAAAAAAAAAAAAAAAGAATCCGACCACTGCGCATGCGCCCGACCTTCTCGGGTTATCAGCCCCATCAAAGAGGAGAGAAAAGAAGCAAAGCCAATTGGGAGGCTGCTAATGGTCACGTGAGGCGGGTCCTCACTCTCTGACGAGTCCACGGGTGGAAGACGTGCGCGCGCGGGTTGGCCAACCGTTCGTACGGTGGCTCAGCAGATCCATTTAGGTTCAGTTCTTTGCGAGGTTTGGCTTGAGTGATCTGAACTCTGGATAACAGTCACTCCGGCACGTCCTCTGAAATTCCCAACCCAGAAGATAACTCTCGGTGAGAGTACTGGTGTCAAGTCAGCGACGTTAAGGTGTCGAATATTACAAAACATTACATGCCACCAAGAACTCTTCCTAGCCTTTTTCAGGATTTTACTACCCTGTTTACTATTTAATTAAACTTGCGTGCATGTCTTACCTTCCTCCGAATAACATTCGAAATAGATATGTGTTTTGTTTGCCTCAAGCACAAAGCTAGGCACAGTGATGGAGTTCAGTAAATATTTGATGCATGAATCAGTGAAGCCCTGTCAAAAAAGGGCGCGGGAGGCAATCAGGAACTTACCACAACCTTCCCGCAACCCAAGCCTTTTGGCCTCCACCTGTCAATTATCTATGCTCTAAAGGGCATGGAGATACACAGAAAAATTTCTCCCGTTGTAGTCTTCATAGTAACGCTGATCATTTTTAACAAAGTACTCCGTAGGCTATGAACCATGGTGGGAATCTGAAGTCCTATCTTTCTGAGCTGGCTGTCAAAATTCTGGAAAGCAAGGACTGTGTTTGGTTCACTTTTGTATCTCCAGCTCCTCCTGTGACTTTATATATAGTAGGGGCTCAATAATTATCTGTGGAATGAATACATGAATAGGGATGGGAAAACACTGGGATAAGAGTCCATCAGGGCCGGGCGCGGTGGCTCAAGCCTGTAATCCCAGCACTTTGGGAGGCCGAGGCGGGTGGATCACGAGGTCAAGAGATCGAGACCATCCT